AGACACATAATGATTGTTGGAAGACCTTTGAGCAACTTGGGGTGTGGACCAAGAACACAAAAATCAAAAAAGGATGGGATTGCATTTGGAGTGCAATAGTTTGGTCCATTTGGCTCATGTGAAACAAAAAGATTTTCCAGAACCAAGAGGTGAATTCGGGTAAGTTGCTCGAACTAGTTCAATTGCGATCTTTTGTATGGATTAAAGCTAGAACAGCCAAGTGTTACTTTAATCTTTCATATTGGTTAATTAATCCTATTGCATGCCTTACTGCTAATTGTGGTGGAAAAGGCTAGGAAAGGAGTGGTCTGAAAGATGAGATTAACACTAAATGGTTGGAGTTTTTGTGTTTTTTGGTGTAAGTTTACGGGTTGAGTACCCATTGTACTCTTTATCAATAAAAGCTTTGCTATTCTAAAAAAAAAAAAGGGATCAATGAATATTTATTTTAGGCTTTATGAGTATTTTATTAAAAGAGTTTAGGGAAGATTTTAAAGAGTCAAAACATAATAAGGGGATTTATTGAGAATTTTAAGAGATCTGTTAAATATTTATTTGATATTTATTAAAAATGTTAAATGACTTTGAAATTTTAAGGAGATTTTAAAACATCATTAGATATTCATTAAAAATTTTAACAATCTCTGCATAATATGGTAATAATAATAAAATAAGTTAAGATATTTAAACCTTATAGATTGACGTTGCTAGGTTGAGGAGCCCACACGTGCGTTCATTGGCTTCGTTTGCGTAGGCTAACAAAACTTGTCGCACGATGTCTCTTCATGTTTCTTCTTTATATTCCAACATGAGATTTTCTAACTTAAGAGAGATGGTATGAAAACTCCACCTATTATTAACTGCTCTCATGTTAAATGTTCATTTTATATTCAAACCCACATGTTTTCAAACAATGTCAATACTTTCGTGTGAAACAGTTGTTGACAAGGATAATGTGGGGGGAACAGACTAAATAACATCTATCCCTCACAAGACGTCGCAGGGCGATTTTGTATGGATATGGAGAGAAGAGAATATTACTTCCCAAAGTGTTTTTTATGCAATAATGGATAGCAGAATCATGAAAAGAGAGAGTATGAGGAATTTTGTTCAGAAAGAAACGTGCATATGTACATGTACCACTATTCTCAGCCTAGCTAGCTCCAGCTCCTCATCTCCCCTTAAGAGAAAGTAGTGACAAAGTAAAAAGGAAATTAGATGGCTGCTTTTGGAATCCAATCTTAAGAAAACTATTTTGGGAATCGAGAAAGACAAAAAATCATACGATGGAGCAGTACCCCTTGTTTCCTACACTTTAACGAGAAGTATATAAACCCTCCGAACACAATTGGAATGATCACCAACTGCATTCACAATATTTCAATTTCCTCATAGTACCTAGCCTCTCCTAATTAAAAGTACTTCCTAACTTCTTTCAGAAGCCCTACAGTCATAAGATAATATATTAGCCTTTTCAAAATTATTGGTATCTCTTCTTCATTTCATTTTACTCCTTGTTTACTAACTTCTGAAATATTAAGATTAGAATGAGCTGGACAGGAGGAGACTGGATATGTGCAGCATGCCAGCACCAAAATTTCAAGAAGAGAGAGACATGTCACTGATGTGGATACCCGAATTCGACAGCCCTGATGTGGCCACTTTCCCGTACAACAGGACAGAGGTGTTGGCAGGAGACTGGTTCTGCTCTAACATGAACTATAAAGCTCAGAATTATGCTACTAGGACTAGCTGCTACGGATGTGGAGCGTTGAAAAATATTGACCATGGAGATGGCAGTTGCCCTCCTGGATGGAAAGCTGGTGACTGGATTTGCCCCAGGTAAGTATAATTTCCCATCTCTTACTTTTTTTCCAGCAATTAATTTTGATTTCTAATTTATTTGAGGTATCAAGTATCCAACAAAGATCTTACCCTATCTATTTTTTTTCTCTTTTATACATATATTTCTTAAAAGATGATTCTTTTTTATTATATTTTTTTTATATATATATGTTCTAGAGAACAAATTAAGTTCTCAAGGAACTTCGGACTTCATTGCTTGAAAACTGTATATGAATAAAGAACCAATTCATCATGTTTGCGTTTTGTTGGATAGATGTGGAGTGCATAACTATGCAAGCAGGACAGAATGTTTCAAATGCAAGGCACAAAGGGATTTCGGTGAGAATTTTCATGTCCATATTGTTGCACCATTATCTATTCTTGATAGAGAAAACTGCTGCTCTTCATTAATTTATCCTTTCTTAATAAATTTTTCCTTGTGAAGCGTTGAAAAATATTGACTATGGAGAAAGCAGTTGCCCTCCTGGATGGAAAGCCGGTGACTGGATTTGCCCCAGGTAAGTTTAAAATAATTCTGCATTGAAATTATTGTAAAGCTCCATGCATTGTTAGAGCTCATTTGATTTTGAATATCAATCTCTAACTTTTTTTCCAGCAAGTAATTAATTTTGATTTCTAATTTATTTGAGGTATCATGTAACCAACAAAGATCTCACCCTATCTATTTTTTTCTCTTTTATAGGTATATTTCTTAAAAGATGATTCTTTTATTATATTTTTTTTATATATGTTCTAGAGAACAAATGAAGTTCTCAAGGAACTTCGGACTTCATTGCTTGAAAACTGCATATGAATAAAGAACCAATTCATCATGTTTGCATTTTGTTGGATAGATGTGGAGTGCATAACTATGCAAGCAGGACAGAATGTTTCGGATGCAAGGCACAGAGGGATTTCGGTGAGAATATTCATGTCCATATTGTTGCACCATTATCTATTCTTGATAGAGAAAACTGCTGCTCTTCATTAACTTATCCTTTCTTAATAAATTTTTCCTTGTGAAACGTTGAAAATTATTGACTATATATGGAGATAGCAGTTGCCCTCCTGGATGGAAAGCTGGTACTGGATTTGCCCCAGGTAAGTTTAAAATAATTCTGCATTGAAATTATTGTAAAGCTCCATGCATTGTTAAAGCTCATTTGATTTTGAATATCAATCTCTTACTTTTTTTTTCCAGTAAGCAATTTTGATTTCTGATTTATTTGAGGTATCATGTATCCAACAAAGATCTCACCCTATCTCCTTTTTTCTCTTTTATACATATATTTCTTAAAAGATGATTCTTTTTATTATTGTTTTTTTTAAATATGTTCTAGAAAACAAATTAAGTTCTCAAGGAACTTCGGACTTCATTGCTTGAAAACTGTATATGAATAAAGAACCAATTCATCATGTTTGCGTTTTGTTGGATAGATGTGGAGTGCATAACTATGCAAGCAGGACAGAATGTTTCGGATGCAAGGCACAGAGGGATTTCGGTGAGAATTTTTATGTCCATATTGTTGCACCATTATCTACTGTTGATAGAGAAAACTGCTGCTCTTCATTAATTTATCCTTTCTTAATAAATTTTTCCTTGTCTTGAATTTCAGGAGCCTAGGAGAAATGATTTCCCCATATGAAGAACATTGTTGGCACAATATCACTAATCGCAGTACTCTACAAATCTCTTGGATTTAAATAAACCTTTAGCTAGGTCAAGTAAAGGCCCATTTTACAAGTAAACCCCATGTTACATTTCAGAAAGGAGTTTCTTAGCCTATCATTGATCCTTCATGAAGCTTTGAAATATACATATGGAGATTAACAGTATGTGATTTTCTGCTTTTGCTTGTTCTTCTTTTCCTATGTATGCACATATGTGGTGAACATTGTTAATGAGTAATTCATTACTACTTTTATGAGGTGGTCCAAGGAAGCACAGTATGTGATAGAAGCACAGTATGTGATACAAGAACCGATTGAATTGATTATATTTATATTATATTTTTAATGATTAAACAAAAAAATGTTGAATCAGGTGTTGAATCGAAAGGTGTACTAATCATTTCCCCATGGATTTTTCATCTATTAAATTTTTTACTCATTCTTTCACTCTCAATTTCTAGTTTTATTGT